TGTATTGCTTAGCTGATAATATAAACTTGTAAAACATCACTTGAAATATTTCAGTTGTAAAGATTGCATATAAATGTGCATTAAGTACTTATAAAGATGTTTACAAGCAGGGATAATGTATATCGAGCCTGATAACTGCCTGCTTTTATGCCCGTAAATAAATATTTCAATTTTAGTGAAATCCTTTTTCAAATCTGTACTTGAGGACAGTGTCATCTTAACAACCAAACTATTGAGGCATATTTCTGGATTTATAAATGCATGTTGTAAACATCAAGGACATGAAATATTTTATATTTATTCAATATAAAAGTGCTGTAAGAAATTGATTCAGAGTCCTGGCTAATTTCCAGGTATTTAAGTTTTTTGACATTTGCATAATATTTTATAATGAATGTATGGCATATTAATATTTGTTAAGTGTTTATGTAATAATTATCATTTGTATTGATTAATACATGTATGACCATTGACATATTAAGACTAAAGGCAAAAAAAACTTTTCCTTATATAAAAAAATTGATTGAACACTTGATAATCAATCACCAATGATCTCATATAAATACATATATGTGTAATAGACTTAGCTGCCTTTGAATCAGTAAGAGCCCCCCCCCCCCCCCCATTTTCATAAAGCCCCTTAGGGTTTTTTCTTCAAGATATAAATACGTCCCCTGGTCTTTGTACATTTATGGAATTTCCAGCAGAATAGACCAGCGTGTTATTGTCACTTCATAGCACTTAAAGATATAAACAATAAATCTATTTTCAGCCGAATGAGAATATAGAATAATTATATATTTAATTCCTTAGACACCTTTAAAATATCCATAAATATTTAGTCTGTCTTTGATCTGTATTATTTATTATCATATTATGTTGTCTTTATAACTTTAAGTTATTTTAATAGTTTTAACTTTAAAGACCAGTTACCAATTAACTAATGCTTTTTGCAGTAAATTTATGGGCAAAATTTTATTTTTACAAAGCTAGGACAATGGTTTCTTATTTGTTTTGTTTTGTTTTGCATGTATTGATTTGAAGTACGATTTCCTAAAAGGGTGAAAGTATTAACATTTTATGGTTGAATAAATTTTAATCTGTTAAGCCTTACTTTGGAACTATATAGAGACGTTAACTGTGAAGTCATAAAACGTTTTAATGTTTTTATCTCTGATATCAACAAATGCCTCTTTAATTTATGCATACCTTAGTCTCGCTGACACGTGTTTTAGCTACCTGTACGACCCTGAACGGTCGCACTCAGCTCAACGATTATTATTAGCGTATGTCGCATATCGTAAAGTTATATTGTTTGGTAGTCTGTGGTTAGTTGTCGAAGGTAGAAAATTAATACGATTAATTTAAATTGGATAAAATTTGATCAATTGGAAATAATAATTAGGCATGTGTTTATTTTGAATACGTATATTTCAAATTAGACAGATTAAGATTTTTCGACAATTTATTTGATATATAAAGTAATGTACAGTGATTTTTACCAATTAGGTCTTACATTTATTGATTTAAAACCTGTGTAGTCATACAAGTTGGAATTTGAGAAGTTCAAACTAAATATTGGTATAAATAATAATATTGATTGCAAGTCTGTACTCTGGATATCACCTGATTTGAAATTTAGGATTTATTTGGTGACATTTGGTAAGAAAAAATTGACTTTATCTATGGTTATTTAATTAATAATAAAATAATCATTCTTTTGGATATTGTAACTGTAAACTTTTTTTTTTGGAATGATCACTCATAACAGTGTGGTAATTTGAAGTGACGTTTAAATGAAAAAAAAATTGTACTGAATTTTTAATAAATGTGAAATTATAATTTTTTTGCATATTTAAGGCAAACAATGGAATGTTAGTGTGCATTTATGTGGGCGTACAAGTAGACAAAATTTGGAGTACTTTATTCGGCAGGGTGTAAACCATATTTCAAAATCACCATTAATTTATTGATAGTTTCCTATATAAACTTTTTATGTCTGAAGCTATTGAAATATTTATGTCTGTCTGACATATGGAGTAAGGGACAATGCAACGTGAACATGCATGTAATAATAACTGCTATGGATGCACATAAATGATTGTTATATAAGGACTTTTTTACTCTTGATTATTATTGATTGTATATGTGTTTCTTAGGTAAACATTTACTTCATAGAGTTGATTTCATCTGATGGTTGTTTGGCCGAGTCAGACTAGTAATCTAAGGATTGCTGGCGGCATGGGTTCAAACCCAGTCAGGGGCAAGCCATTATTTCCTTGAGCAAGAAACTTTACATACATTACTCAGTACTGGTTGATTCAAGGAACAGATGCGAGAGCACAGACTAAATTTATTTGAACTAGGAGTTGAAATATTGTGCTAGCTTATATATGGGCAATATATGTGAGATTCTGACACAGAATCATCAGCGATGTCATATTTGTAACTAAACTAAATGTTGAAGGCATTTTAAATGATGAAATTTAAGTTAGTCTGGAATGAGAGTGTATGGCATGTTTCTGTTTTTCATTTACATGAAAATAATATGAAATTATATTAAAATAAAAATAAAAGTATGTCATAACCTTGCACAAAATACATGACAAATTTCTAAGATTTGTAGTTTATGAAACTGTGAAAACAAGGGCTGTAACTCTGACACTGTGAAAATAGTTAATTCACTTTAAGGTGCACAGTATTAATGCACAAAGGTCATGTATGATGATTATGTATGAGAAATATTGTTCTTTCTAGCATTTAAATTTTTTGTTCTCAATTTATTGCAAAATAGTACATTTTAGATAAGAAAAACAAGCATTTTTGAATTATTTTCTTGAAGATTTAAAAAAAATGCATATTATATTTGAAATTTATCTCAGTTTACTCTCTTGTGTATTTTCAGGAATGAATATTTTTTGAAACAAGAAGTTGATAGAAGAGCAATAAATGTAAGTTATCTACACATTACTATTTTATGAAATTTAATCTGGATGCATTTATGACCCCCTACCCTCGGGTCCCTCTGGTAATAATGGAGACTGTGACTTTTGGAATTTCAAACTCCTGGTATTTGAGGCCTTGCTATGTGGAGACAAGCAGGAACGAGGTCCGTACTCTCAGTACCTGAAAGGGTGGATGGACCCTCATTAAGCCTAGAATACATTACATACATAGACAACAAGGAACATATTATAAAACAGATGGTCCAGACCGGGTACTATTGGTGATGCTCCTAAAAAGGCAGCTGGAGGAGAAGTTTTTCACAAAAATTAAATAGACCTTTATTTTATCTACTTTGATCAATAATTGAAAATTATAACATCAATGCATGGTAGATCAGTATTTAACTATCAAATGTGAACTTGACTTTGTAGTGTGGTAAAAATGTATATGAAAACCATAAAACAAAATAATAAGTCTGATGAAATATGTTTTTAATAGTGGTAAAGCTACTAGTTATGTATATAGTAATTTAGGGACTCTCCCATTCTAAAATAGGATCTTAGTCAGAACTTATTGTAGAGAGATTAGCCAGGGATTTAAAGATGTCAGTTAGTTTACGAACTTACTAAATTTTATTTTTCTCTCTATCGTATTGTTTTACCACTGTTTGCATAAACCCACACAATTATAGAGGAATAACTCTAATTAATATTATATCAAAGATCTACTCTCAAATTCTGTTAAACCGCTTGACGAACTGGACCCAAACAAACGAAACAATCATTGAAAATCAATTTGGCTTTCAGGCAGGTAAATCAACAATTGATTGCGTCTATATTTTACATTCAATTATAGCTAAAACTTTATCGTTAAAGAAAAAATTATATTGTTGTTTTATAGATTTCGAAAAATGCTTCGATAAAATTACGAGATCTCATTTATTTCATAAACTAATAACAGAAAATGTAAGCTCCCGATTTGTTAATTCTATAAGAGCTATGTATAATACAGTGAAAGCATGCGTAAGATATAAATCAGAAAACTCAACTTTTTTCACGTCAAACATTGGAGTTAAACAGGGAGATCCCAGTTCCAGTCTGATGTTCTTATTTTTCGTTAATGACATTCTTTTGAATATAAATAGTAACATAGACGGGATCTGTTCTATAGATGACGTCAAATTATATTTATTGCTTTTTGCCGATGATGCTGTCATTTTTGCAGAAACACCACATGCATTACAGTCAATACTTAATGACTTACAATTATACTGCGGTCTGTGGGATTTAAGAGTAAATACATCTAAAACAAAAATAGTTATTTTCGAAAAAGGACGAAAAACAACGCATTCTTTCATTTTTAATAACGTAGTGTTAGAAATCGTGGATTCGTTCAAATACTTAGGAATAACCCTATTTAAAAACGGCAACTGGAATAGAACACAAAAACACATAGCAAAACACTCTCTATATGCACTTCATAATTTATTTATTATTTATAACCAATTAAATCTCAATACAAAAGAAAAATGTAACTTATTCGATAGTCTAGTAGGATCAATTTTGAATTATGGCTCAGAAATATTTGGATACCATAGTGCAAATGATATAGAAGTGATTCATAATAAATTCATGCGAAAAAATATTACACGTTCGTAAAAGTACAAAATCTTGTTGCATTATATGGTGAACTAGGAAGGTATCCTATGATGATACAGCGTAAAATAAATTTAATTAGATTTTGGATACGAATAGTAAAATCAGATGATAATAAATTACTTAAAATGACATACAATATGCTTAAAGATGATTTTAATGATGGTCATAACTATAATGGTCTTAATTGGGTCGGACATGTTCAACAAATTTTCGTTGTAATAGGTATGTCAAACATTTGGCTATCCCAAAATGCTGACATCGTATCTTTACAAACTATAAAACAAAGAATAATTGATATATATAAACAATCTTGGGATGCTGAAATTAGAACTTCAAATAGATTACAGTCATATAGCTTGTATAAGAAAGAATTAAAAGTAGAACGATATTTAGATGTAATACCTAATAGTAAATTTAAAATAGCACTGACAAGATTCCGACTATCATCTCATGATTTAATGATTGAAAAAGGTAGACATTTAAATATTCCCAGAAATGAAAGAATATGTTCAAATTGTAATATGAATGCAATAGAAAACGAGTACCACTTTCTTCTAGTATGCCCAAAATATACTAACTTAAGAAAAACCTACTTCAATCCATATTTTTGCCATTGGCCTACTAAGCAAAAATTTATCTCACTTATGAATTTAGACTCTGTTAAAAGTATTTTGAATGTCAGCAAATTTATATACAAAGCTTTCCATATGCAATAATTCTTCTTTATTCCAAAACGAATTTCATTATCATAACCTGATGTTCACTGCTTTGTTTTCTTTTTATCTTTTGTAAGTATTTTAAGTTAATGTAAACACAATGAAATGGATCTCCATATTTGAATTGTTTTACAAAAATGTATTCAATAAACATAATGTTGATCGTAACAAGAAAATATATTCTTTGTAATATGTTTTATTATAGAAATAACACGACAGATAAATGGCAATAATGATGAAAAATATTGTTAAGGAAATACTTTACAATTAATTATGTTCACTCTGTTAAAAAATAATAATTTAAGATTAATTTGTATAAATCATTTGTATATAATTCTCTGTTAACCATGTACTTGCCCTTATATGTTTGTATTGTATATTGAAATGGCTATAAATGTTGTAACATTTAATGCTGAATAAATATTATGTTATGTTATGTTATGTTATGTTTGCATAAATGGGTTGTTATTAAGAATTTCAATTAATTTACGGATTACAATGTTTTATTTTTTCTCTCTTTATTTGACCACTGTGTGCATAAATGGGCGGTTAACATCAAAGGACATAAAATTGAAACCCTACACTTGTTATGTTATGTTTTCCTTATTGAACATGTACCTTAATGACTGCATTTGTCCATTTTTATGCACATTATTAACTGCCACATTTGTGGTCATAAATTGCATGTATTTGACGGTCAACATATACCAGAGGTGATGACCACAATTTTATGGTTGACAAACCTTTGATTGTTGATTTCCTGTAAACTGATATACAGTTTGTGTCGGTTATTAACTTTTTTATTTGCCTTTTTCAGTACGTCATTAACAACTTTTTTTTGCAATATTCTGAATACCAATACTTCCTTATCAGTTTATTGTATTGTTTTGTACTTATTGATAATTTGCCTGGATATTTAATTGCTCTGACATAAAAGGTATTTAAGAAATTTGTATTGAAAGAATTGAGTTATTTTGAGGTTTTGTACATTCTGCTTTTAAGTCTATTTTGATGGTATCATTGTTATTATTTTGATTCTGTATACCTGAAATGTTCATGTGTATCTTGCACTCAGTCAAACCAAGTTCGCAATTTTCACCATTTTACTTCATGTTTTTTCGAGATTTTTTAACTATTCTGAATTGATGTATATAAATGGACTTGTAGCCCTAAATTTATGTACATGTAGTGAACTTGAACCCCTTTGAATTTATGTACCTGTAAGGTACATGATCCCCTCTGAATTTATTACAGCACTTGAGCGCTTCTGAATTTATGTACTTATATATTGTGTACATGAACCCCTCTGAGTTTATGTAATGGCCTTGAAGCCATAGTGTACATAAACCCTTCTGAATTTATGTTATAAACTTGAAGCCTTTCTGAATTTATGTACCTTTACCGTACATGAACCCCTTTGATTTCATTTATTGGACTTTAACTCACTGAATTTATGCACCTGCAGTGTACAGTTGAACCCCTCTGAATTTATGTATTGAACTCAAACCCCTCTGATTTTATGTATTGTTCTCAGACCCCTCTGAATTTATGTATTGTACTCAAACCCCTCTGAATTTATTTATTGTACTTAAACCCCTCTGAATTTATGTACTTGTAGTGTACATGAACCCCTCTGAATTTATGTACCTGTAGTGTACATGAACCCCTCTGAATTTATGTATTGCTCTCAAACCCCTCTGAATTTATGTAAGTGAACCCCTCTGAATTTATGTACCTGTAGTGTATGTGAACCTCTCATCAAGTTCTGTTAAGAATTTCGAGGTATTTATTGGTAGTGTCAGGTATTCAACAGTGCTGGCTGGTATATAGGTGATGGTATAGGCCTGTCACAGGTCTGTCATTATCACAACCAGTGTTCATAACCATGTCATGACCTTACATGGTCCTTAATGGTAATTTGAGTAAAACAAATGATGGTAGTACTGACATTACAATGTGTTTGCCCTCAATGGACTGTGTAAGGTGTAACATTCCTCTTCAAGCAAAGTTTTTACATTCTTCTAAATGAGCTATTACACTGTTAGGTGATAGTCCGCCAAAATAGTCCAAAGTTTGATTTATGTACAATTAGGGTGCAAAATGTCTTTATGATTTTAACGGTTAATGCAAAACTTTGAGAAGTTAATACATTTTAACAGCAAATTCAGAATGTCATTTTAACTGTCCTACACCATCTTTTGTGAGTTTTACCATTTTATTTCATATTTACATTTTTACCAGGACCACATATTACGTAACAACATTTGTATTAAAAATTAAAGCTTTTGAAAAGATTGCACAGGAACAGTCTTAATAACTTAAGAACAATTTTGCAGCAGCATTGTATATGGTCTCTAACGAAAAAATTTTTCAGTGATATTATTTAAGTGTTACTTTAGAATAAGTGGACTTTCTTTGCTGGAAATTTGTTTTATTACATAATGAAAACAAAGTTTGTTTGGTTTATAAATGTGTTTAAATGTATTTACTTGACTTCATAACTAAACAGTTATTTTTCTTTCATTTAATGTGTAAATACTGTGGTCAGTATAGTGGTGATTGTGCAACACCTGTGAAAAATGAACATTGTCCAGATAGATTTGTTAATGAATATTATTTCACAGTTATATA